GCATGGCGCAACAGCAAGGCATGGCACAACAGCAAGGCATGGCACAACAGGGGATGATGCAGCAAGGCATGGCACAACAGGGGATGATGCAGCAAGGCATGGCGCAACAAGGGATGGCGCAACAAGGGATGGTGCAACAAGGCATACCGCAACAAGGGATGACGCAACAAGGCATGCCGCAACAAGGCATGGCGCAACAGCAAGGCTTAGCACAACAGGGGATGATGCAACAAGGCATAGCGCAACAAGGGATGGCGCAACAAGGGATGGCGCAACAAGGCATGCCCCAACAAGGGATGACGCAACAAGGAATGGCGCAGCAGCAAACTCCACAGCAGCCGATGTTTGGCTTCCAAGGGGGCCCATCCGCATTCATGCCACACAACGGACAAGCATACCAGCAACAGATGCAGCAGGTGCAGCCGATGCAGCAGGTGCCCTCTTTCCAGCAAGGCCATCAGATGCAACAAGGCCCGGTACCGATGCAACAAGGCCCGGTACCGATGCAACAAGGCCCGGTACCGATGCAGCAAGGCCCGGTGCCAATGCAACAAGGCGCGGTGCCAATGCAACAAGGCTCGGTACCCATGCAAGGACAAGTACCGATGCAGCAAGGCTCGGTACCGATGCAACAAGGCCCGGTGCCCATGCAGCCGTCACCTGGAGCGCCCATGCAACCAGGCCTGCCAATGCCCCCGCACCAGCCGTTTCCTGCCGCTCCCACCATGCCTATGACTGTGCAAGTGGTTTCAGCTTCCCTCCCTGCCCCCATGCAGCAGCAACAGCAACAGCAACAGCAGCAGCAGTAGCAGCAGCAGCAGCAGCAGCCCGGTCATGTACCTGGACACAACAACATGCCTGGTACGCAACAGACTTCCGTCTCTCTCGTTGTAATATCAGCTACTCACCCCACAAGCTGTTTCATACCCTGCTCTCTCCATCGCGCACTTCTCTACCTTCTCTTTCCCTCTTTTTGCCCCCTCCCCCCTCCACTCTCTCCCGACGCATCCAGGCGACTTCGGGTCGTGGGCGCCCTTCACAGTGACGCAATGGCAGGAGTTGGAGCAGCAAGCTCTCGTCTTCAAGTACCTTGTTGCAGGCTGTTGAGTTGTCGCACAAGTTCCCTTATTCACTCTCTCCCCGCCACCCTCGCCCCCGCACATCCCTCAGGCGACTTCGGGTCGTGGGCGCCCTTCACAGTGACGCAGTGGCAGGAGTTGGAGCAGCAAGCGCTCGTCTTCAAGTACCTTGTTGCAGGCGCGCCCGTGCCCCCTCACCTGGTTGCTGCGCTCAGAGCCTCCTGCGCGCGCCTGCCCCCCTTGGTGGCACTGCAGCAGCCACCGGCTCCCCAAGGTGGGTCTCTCTCCCTTTTCTCCGTCTACCTAGGCGCTCGTCTTCAAGTACCTTGTGGCAGGCGCCCCTGTGCCTCCTCACCTTGTTGCTGCTCTCAGAGCCTCCTGCGCGCGTTTGCCCCCTTTGGTAGCACTGCAGCAGCCCCCTGCTGCCCCTGGCCAACGTGAGTCCTTCTCCCTGTGCATGACCGTCCTATGTCCATCCATCCCATTCATGCGCGCGTTCCTGTGCTTGGTGCTCCAATGATACTTGCATCAATACTGACGGTTCCCCTTTCTCCTCTGCCTCGTCCTCCCATGCTCTCCACATTCCTTCTCGTCGAATCGCGTCTCGTCTTGTCTCTTGTGGCTCATCACTCCTCTCCTCCGTCTCCTCTTTGCCCGTCCCGCCCTTGTCGCTCCGCCCTCCATCGAGCAGCAGGGTGGGGGCAGGTGACACAGCAGGTAGAGCTGGAGCCGTTCAGATGCCGACGAACGGACGGCAAGAAATGGCGATGCTCCCGAGAGGTACGTATGCGAAATGGGGAATTTTCAGAGATAGAGGTATGGAAACAAACTCTTGCTGCTGCTTTCCGTCGTAGACGCACGTCCAGCACACGCATGTAGGCACGCCCTGCTTTTTTAATTTCCATCCTCCATTCTGCTGTCTCTCTGTCCTCTCCATCCATTTCCCACATCCTTCCCAGATGGTACCGGATCAGAAGTATTGTGGGCGCCACATTCCCGGGGGTTACAACCGCTCCCTTCCCCTCTCCTCTCTCCCTGTTCTTTCTCCACTCTTTTCACCCCTTTCCCACACCAGGTGGTACCGGATCAGAAGTACTGTGGGCGCCACATGCATCTTTCACCCCCCTCACCGCTTTCTTTACCTCACGCACTCCTTTCCACCAGGTGGTACCGGATCAGAAGTATTGTGAGCGCCACATGCATCTTTCATTCCCCTCACCACTCTCGTTACCGCATGCACTCCTCCCCACCAGGTGGTACCGGATCAGAAGTACTGTGAGCGCCACATGCATCTTTCATCCCCCTCACCGCTCCCTTTACCCCACGCACTCCTTTCCACCAGGTGGTACCGGATCAGAAGTACTGTGAGCGCCACATGCATCGCGGGCACAACCGTTCCCTTCACCTCTCCTCTCTCCCTATCCCCCTCTCCGCCCCAGGTGGTACCGGATCAGAAGTATTGTGAGCGCCACATGCATCGCGGGCGCAACCGTTCCCGCAAGACCCACGACCGCGCTGCTCCAGGCACCTCCCTCGTTGATGCAACCGACGCTGACGATGGCCCTCCTGCTGCTGCTGGCGCTGCTGCTGGCGCTGCTGGTGGTGGCACTGCAGGCGGTGGCGGTGGTGGTGGTGGTGGCGATACCACTGGTGGCGATGCAAGCACGCCAAGGGCAGCAGGAGGTGCGACAGCAGGGGGGGCAGGAGTGGGAGGGGGAGGCGCAGGAGGAGGAGGGGGCGCGGGAGCAGGGGGTGTGGGAGTGAAGGCAGGCGATATGACTCCCTCCAGCCTCAACACCACCACCGATTTCACCACCTCTCAGAGAAACACTCCTCTTCCCGGCAGTGCCTCTTACCCTCCCAGTGCCACTTACCCCGCCACTGCTGCTTATCCAGGCAGTGTCCCTTACCCTGGTAGTGCCACTTACCCAGGCAGTGCCACCCACCCTGCTGTTGCCATGTTCCGCCCATCTGCGGAGGGAGAAGCAGTGCCAGCGGTGCTGCATGGGAACGCCCCGCCTCCCCTCACTCTCCCCCCTCCCGTGCATGCAGTCTCGGTGCCTTCTGCAGGGCAGGGTGGGGCAGGGCAGGGCGGGGCAGGGCAGGGTGGGGCAGGGCAGGGTGGGGCAGGGCAGGGAGGTGTACCAAATTTGGGAGAGGGAATGCAGCAGTCACAAGGCGCGGGTGATGCAGTGAGAGGGGCACCAGGGGGGATGCAAGCAGGAGCGCAAGGAGGGGTGCAGCAAGCAGGGGTGCAGCAAGCAGGGGTGCAGCAAGCAGGGGTGCAGCAAGGAGGGGTGCAGCAAGGAGGGGTGCAGCAAGGAGGGGTGCAGCAAGCAGGGATGCAGCAAGGAAGGATGGGAGGAGCATCAGCAGCAATGGGCGTACAAAGAGCAGGAGAGGGGGCACGAGGAGCAGGAGAGGGGTCTTTCCCCAGCCAGTAGGTTCGCCTCCTCACGGGTCTCTCTCGTGGGTGCCTGTCTCACTCACACGTTCACTTGTTCCATGCCCTCCTCATACCTGTCATGCTTCATTTCGAAGTTTTGACTTTTTTTCTTATGTATTTGCAGCCGATTCTAGAAAGGGTGTCTGTCTCCGTTGCTTCACGACCCTGTCGATAACCCTAGCCATACCCCTGCCAGTGACTTCATCTCACCCCTGTCTGCCTCAGGCCGTCACGTTGCTTTGCTCCTCTGACAGTTGGTGATTTTTCTGTCGTCTGTCTCTCTCTCTGCTTTGACTCGTCTTCTCAGGTCTCCTGGTCAACCCGCTGCAGCACAGAACCAACCACCCTCCCACCTGCAACATCCACAGCAGCACCAGCAACAGCATCATCATCAGCAGCAGCAGCAGCAGCAGCAGCAGCAGCAGCAGCAGCAGCAGCAGCAGCAGCAGCAGCAGCAAGAGCAGGTGAGGCCAGGGCAACAGGCAGTGCAATTGCAGTGGGAGCACGGTCGCTTGCCCCGGCAGCCCTTCTCCTACCAGCCACCGCCCCCGGCCCCACAGCAGCAGCACCCAGCCCCACCGCCCCCTTCGCCCTCTCAAACTCCCAACAATTCAGTGCAGACCGGACCTGCCTCTGCCTCGAATCTCGCACAGCAACAGCAGCAGCAGCAGCAGCAGCACCAACAAAAGCAACTGCACCAACAGCAGCAACAGCAGCAACAGCAACAACAACAACAGCAACAGCAGCAACAGCAGCAGCAACAGCAGCAACAGCACCAACAGCACCAGCAACAACACCAACAACAGCAGCAACAGCAGGCATCAAGTGCAGCAGCCCCAGCAGCACCAGCAGCCCCAGCAACAGCCCAAGCACCACCACAACCACCACCACCAGCTCAAGCGTCTCCGCGCCTGGGCAGCACGGGAGGCAGTCAGCTGCTGCCAGGGCACTACCAAATAGGAGGGCCCCGCCTGCACCCCTCCCCTCTCATGGGGCCCAGGGCACCCCTTCGTGCATCCACACCCACACACGGGCCTGCATTTGAGGCGCCTCAAAAGTCAACTCCCATTGCATCCACACCCACACACGGCCCTGCATCCCTCCATGCTTCCACGCCTGCTCCCTCCCCTCTTCAAGTGCCCAAAGCTGCAGCACCCCCGCCCTCTCCTTCCCTGCAAGTCTCCAGAAATCCACAGGCCTTTCCCTCTCCCTCTCCCTCTCATTCTCCCACCCCCTCTCCCTCGTTACACACGCTAAAGCCAGCTGCCTCTCCTCTCCTTCAAGTATCAAGGCTCGGCCCTTCCCCACACCAGCAGCAGGCTGTAAGGGCAGCAGGGTCGCCTTTCCAGCAAGCAGCAAGATTCCAGCAGGGGGTTTCTTCCGATCAAAGACCTGCCTCTCCTGCCCTGCAAGCGCTGACACAAGGGCCCTCCCATTCGTTTCGGCCCGTCAAGCCAGCAGCGTCGCCTGCGCTACAGCCGTTGGTGCATTCAACCATGGAGGCGTCTCAAAGCTCGCCTGTGCTACAACCGGCGGTCACTCCAATGCAGCGAGCTCAATGTGCCAATTCAACTGGTGGGACCGAGGAAGGGGATGGTGCTGCTGGTGGTGGTGCCGGTGCTGGTGCCGGTGCTGGTGCCGGTGCTGGTGCTGGTGCTGTGAATGGGGTTGGGACCAGAGGCAGCAGTGGTGCTGCGAGCTATGGTAACGCCCCCAGCAGTACATCTGGAGCTGCTGTGAGCGCGAGTGTTGGGAGAGCAGCGGGCAGGGACGGTGCAAGAGGTGGGGAGGAGGAGGCATGCAGGGAGGAGAGAGCGAGGGGTGGAGAGAGGCTGCATTCAGCTGCTGCTGCTGGTGGTGCTGGTGAAGCAGCTGGGGGGGTGCGGAAGGAGAGAGGAGGAGAGGTTGGAGGAGCTGCGGAAAGTGGCTTAGGCACGGCAAGGCCATCTCCCAATGTAAGCCCTCCCTCCACTCCATATATAGGCGCCTGATCAATCAACTCCTCACAAAGTTCTGAGGTGCCTTCAATATAGACCTGCTTAGGCATGGGAGGCCGTCGTCCAATGTATGCCTGCCCACCAGTTTAGGGCTTGTTGTTGTCTTGTAGAATTTCAGGCATTTCTTTTGACCACCTGTTCTGAACCCCTTGTTTCCAGCCCCTTGATCCCAGCCCCATGCTATATGCTGCTTTTACATCTCCTCTGCTTTTGCTGAACGAGGCTGTTTGTGTTTGGTTTGCTTGTCCTGTCCCTTTCTTTCCATGCAGTGTGTGTTGCAACCGGCATTCAGCCAGGCAGAAAGTGGAGGGGGTGACAGCACTCCTGTCACAAGGCCTTCCCCCGGTCCTGTGGTCATGCAGTCCCATAGGCTGCTGTCACCGGTGCAAGTGGGAGCACCACAAACCTTACACGCACACAGGAGATAGCAAACATGCACATGTACCACGACTTGCACTGTTGACAGGAATCAAATGCGCTGCTTGTTGTTTTGGTCATTTCCTGATCATGATCGATGTTTTGTGGGAGAACGACAAGCACCTGCATTGCCAATTGCAGGGTTGCGGGCTTGATAGAGCTTACTGAAGATAAAGTACTGTAGTTTATACTACAAAGACTATACTAATATACTATTGAGTTCTGCCAAGACAACGTGCCTCCAAGCTTTCCATTTGCCAAAGAATACCCTACCAGCACAGCGATGGCACGGTTGTGTTGCGGCACACTTGACTCACTACCTAAACACTGGTGGTAGATTCACTCGTACTGGTTTATACAGAGATACTTGAGTGAAGACTAGTGGTTCAACAGCTGACAACCTCAATACCTACAATACAATCTTCAGATCCCATACGGTACCATTAGCTATTACATACATTGTGCAAGATTGCTTTCTTGTGGTTGCAAACGGACGATATTAGGTAGCACATCTAATGCAGTGAGAGCAATGTTTCGTATCAGACAAACAAAGCAACAGCCAGCATGGGAGGGAAAACCGCTTTCTCAGTTGACTCGTAAGCTCCAAACTGCCAGCGTCAGTAACAGTCGGACACAACTGCTACTGACGTGCTCGTTGCATGTGCCGATGATGGGTTTGTTCCTGCAGCAGCCTCTGCTGCAAACCGAGTGCTTCCAGTGGCTGGCCGTGCGGACCCACCAGCTAACGCAGCATCAGGGCCAGCAGTCTCTGTATATGCAACAGCAGCAGAAGCAGGAGCAGCCGGAGCGGACGCAGTAGGAGTAGCAGGAGCAGTAGGAGCAGAAGCGGGACCACCAGCAGTGGTAGCAGGGGTGGCCGAGGAAAAGGAGAAGCCAGCTTGGTTGGGGTTGGGAGACGGCCACTTGCTGACCCACTGGCCGAACAGCTCAGAGGAATCGACCCTCGATGCATGTAGCCCTGCTGCTGCTGTCGCACCCGCATCAGCAGACAGAGCACCCACCGCTCCCGTTGCTCCCGCTACCCCCGCCGCTCCTACTCCTCCTGCTGCTGCTCCTGCTGCTGCTGCAGCCGCCGCTATTACTCTTGCACCAGCAGCGCCCATGCCATCGCTGCCATCACTGCCACCCCCAGAGCAACCGCTGCCAAACACCGGCGGGGTGGTGGTGGAGATGGACGGAAGAGGCGAGGCATCGTTGAGCGGCGAGTCTGCGAGGTGAAGGAGTTCAGCGGAACTGAGGCGAGCCAGCCTGGCTGCTGCGGCCGCGAGCGCGGACGGCGTGAGCGACTCTCCGAACAGATCTGTTGAGTTCTGCCGGCCAAAGAGGTCGGCCGAGCTCTGCCGCACAAACAGATCCGTCGAGTTCTGCCGGCCGAAGAGCTCCCCGGAGCTCTGCCGGCTGAAGGCGTCGGCAGGGTTGTGCAGGAGGGAGGAGGCGAGAGAGGCAGCGAAGGAGGGGCTGCTGAGATAGGTGGCGATTGAGGGGCTTCCTATGTTGAAAGGGGCGTTGCCTCCCATTGTGAACTGGAGATTGAGGCTCGGGCTTCCCATGCTGAACGGGAGCGGACCGGAGGGCACTCGGAAGGGGAAAGGCGAGGGAGGCGGTTGCGTGGCGGAGGGTTCAGCTGCTGCTCCTGCTGCTGCTGCTGTAGGTTGTGTGTGTGGCTGTGCTGGTGGTGTCTGTAGCATTGGTTCAGAAGCGTCTCCAGCTGTCCCTGCTGCTTCTCTGACCCAATGGTCTAGGGATGACTGCTTGGGAAAGAAGTGACGAGCGCCGGCAGCAGCAGGAACAGCAGCAGCAGCATCAGCAGGTGCGCCTGCTTCTGCCCCTGCTGCTTCACTGTTGCTGTGAGGGTTGTTACCAGCACTGACCCAATCGTCTACCAGAGAGGACTGCTTGGGGAAAAAGTGACGGGGGCCGGCAGCAGCAGCAGCATCGTCCCCACCCTCACCACCGTCCGAATCGCTACCACCATCATCATCCTTACCATCATCACCATTACCACCGTCACCACGAGCAGCGTCACCTAGCAGCAGCAGTGGCAGCAGCAGCGGCAGTAGCAGTGGCAGCAGGAGCAGCAGACACGCGAGCAGCAGATGCCTGGGCAGCAAGCATGTGGGCGACAGAAGCAGCAGCCATGGCTGCTTTTTCTGCCTGGGCGATCACCAGCAGCGGATCGTCTGCTGCGTCTGTGGCTGGCGGCAGTACCGACGCCGTTGCTCGCTTCAGCTCCCACCGACTCCCTGAAATGGGAGGGAACGGAGCATGCGAAGAAGGGGGATAGGGGAATAAATATTGAGGCTGTTTAAGAACTAGCAGTGGGCCGTCTGCTGGGTCTGTGGCTGGCGGCAGCACCGACGCCGTTGCTCGCTTCAGCTCCCAGCGACCCCCTGGAAATGGGAGGGAGAGAGGAAGAAGCACGAGAGGAAGGGGGATAAGGAAATGAATCTGAAAGAGAGAGCCTAAGAACCACCAACAGGTCGTCTGCTGCGTCTGTGGCTGGCGGCAGCACCGACGCCGTTGCTCGCTTCAGCTCCCAGCGACCCCCTGGTGAGGGAGAGAAAGAAGAATGGGAACCACATGGGGAGAAGAGGCGTAGGAGAAAAAGAGACGAGGGAGTGTGCAAGGGGATGCGTGCGAGAGAATAACTTTTGAGTCGACTCAAATGTTACCTCTTTGGAGATGAGGGAGTGTGCAAGGGGATGCGTGCGAGAGAATAACTTTTGAGTCGACTCAAATGTTACCTCTTTGGAGATGAGGGAGTGTGCAAGGGGATGCGTGCGAGAGAATAACTTTTGAGTCGACTCAAATGTTACCTCTTTGGAGATGAGGGAGTGTGCAAGGGGATGCGTGCGAGAGAACAACTTTTGAGTCGACTCAAATGTTACCTCTTTGGAGATGAGGGAGTGTGCAAGGGGATGCGTGCGAGAGAATAACTTTTGAGTCGACTCAAATGTTACCTCTTTGGAGATGAGGGAGTGTGCAAGGGGATGCGTGCGAGAGAATAACTTTTGAGTCGACTCAAATGTTACCTCTTTGGAGATGAGGGAGTGTGCAAGGGGATGCGTGCGAGAGAATAACTTTTGAGTCGACTCAAATGTTACCTCTTTGGAGATGAGGGAGTGTGCAAGGGGATGCGTGCGAGAGAATAACTTTTGAGTCGACTCAAAATTTACCTCTTTGGAGATGAGGGAGTGTGCAAGGGGATGCGTGCGAGAGAATAAGCAGGGGAACGGAGGGAGAGGGAAATAGATAAAAGCGAGGGAGAGGCACGAAGGGAGGAGTATGGAGGAAGAAAGAGGGAGGGAGAGAGAGAAAGACAGGGAGCGGGAGAACGACTCACGGGAGCAAGGCGAGAGCATGCTGAGGTTGGATGGCGATGGCTGGGGTCCCCACGATGGTGGTTTGTGATGTTTATAGGAAACACGAGGGCATGTTGCGTTTGAAAACCAGGTGCAACACAAGGGATGGGAGGCGAGACAGAGAGACAGAGACTCACAGGAGCAAGGCGAGAGCATGCTGAGGGTGGATGGCAATGGCTGGGGTCCCCACGATGTTGGTTTGTGATATTCATAGAAAATCAGGTGCACCGGGGGGGATGGGAGGCGAGAGAGACAGAGACTCACGGGAGCAAGGCGAGAGCATGCTGAGGTTGGATGGCGAAGGCTGGGGTCCCCACGATGTTGGTTTGTGATATTCATAGAAAATCAGGTGCACCGGGGGGGATGGGAGGCGAGACAGAGAGACAGAGACTCACGGGAGCAAGGCGAGAGCATGCTGAGGGTGGATGGCGATGGCTGGGGTCCCCATGGAGATGCATTCGCATTGAAACTCGCACTTGCACTTGTACTTGCACTTGCATTCGCATTCGCATTTGCACTTGCAGAGCCACCATTAGCCGCAGCAGTGGCAGCAGAGGCGTTAGCAAAAGTGTCACCCCCAGCAGCATCTCCAGCGAAAGGAGCAGCACCACCACCGTCACCACCGCCGCCGCCATTCCGAGCAGCAGGAGGAGCGGTAGCAGCCACAGAGAATGAGGGTTTGGCGGGCGGAGGCAAGGCAGGAGATGAAGCGAAGAGGGGAGGGCGCGGAGGCTTGGGCTTGCAGGGAGAAGGAGAGAGGGAGAGCTCTGTTCCCGCTCCTTGGCGACCCTCTGGTGTGCTGTGGGGAGACAGACAGAGGGAAGACGGGGGCGGATGGGGTAGGGAGGGGAGCACTGAGGCTGAATGTGTTGAACGAATATGACAACCAGCTACTTGCTATGTGACGGAGAGAGGGAGAAATCTGTTCCCGCTCCTTGGCGGCCTTCCGACGTGCTGCTGGGAGACAGAAAGAGGGATGAGTGTGGGGGACGGATGAGTATGGGGGAGGGAGGAACATGAGGGACGGGGGGGAATTGGAAGGGTTAGAGGGAGGGGGAACAATGGGGTAGGAGGGGGAGCATTGGTGATTGGAGCACGGGTGGGTGGAGCAGTAAAGGTCTGACCTACACTGGGGTAGGGAAAATTGAGCGGGACATATAACATGTCATGCAGGAAAGAAAGTCGACGCGTGCAGCGAATAAGGGCGAGAAAAACCAGAGAGAAATGAGCTGGTGCTAATGTCAGCCTTGAATGCATGCAGTGCATAAGATATATATAGAGATATATAGATATATATATGTACATATATATATGTATACAAAAAATATATATGTATATATATTTATATTTTAGAATGGTACCTCATATCAATCAGGCCAGCCTTGAAGCGCGTAGCAGGGTATGCGTCCCCGCTTTTCACAGCTGCTGTGGTTGCAGCTGCCATGGTAGCAGGTGGTCGCACGGGAGGGGACTTAAACGCGCCCCATTTCACAGGCATCAAGCTGCTGCCGCTGCCAGTGCCCGCATGCTCGCCCTTGCCCACTCTCCCCTGCCACCCCTTATCGCTACCTCCCGGCTGACCAGTTTCGTCTGCTTCTGCAGCAGAAGCAGCAGCAGCAGCAGCAGCAGCGTCAGCGGGAGGGAGAGGAGCATCAGCAGCAGCCACAGTCTCTGCAGGAATACCCTTGAGATCAGACGCTTCCCCCACTGCAGCAGCAGCAGCCCCATCCCCACCTATGCCTGACCCTTCCTGGGCGGCCATATTTGCACTAGGGGAGTAGCCAAACAGGTCAGAGGAATCAAGCCTGGCAAACCGAAGCAGAGGGTTGTCAGAGAAGGTGCGGGACAGGCCCGGGGTTCCCGAGCCTGGAGTCGCCGAACCTGAGAGGTACACACTGAGGCCTGGAGACTGGTTGAGGCTATAAGCACCCCACCCGCTTCTCCCTATGCCTGTAGGAGAGGTGGCACCCGAAGCAGCGGCTGCAGCGGCGGCAGCGGCAGCAGCAGAGGCAGCCGCAGCAGCAGCTGCAGCGGAGGCAGCAGCGTCAGTGCTGGCATGACTAGGGAGACCTGCTACCCCAGCCGCATGAGCCCCAGTAGAACCTGCCCCAGTAGAACCTGCCCCAGTTGAACCTGCCCCAGTTGAACCTGCCCCAGTTGAGCCCACTCCAGCCACACCTTCGCCTGGAAATGGCTTGGTATTGCTGGGAGGAAGGACGGATGGAGTGGCCCAGGAGGGCAGGGGGGGAGGGGAAGGAGCACGTTCCGCCGAAATTGGCTCCGCTGCTGCCTCTGCTGCCCCACCTGCTTCTCCTCCTGCCCCTCCTGCCCCAGCTACCCCTGCTGCCCCTGCTGCCCCTGCTGCCCCTGCTGCCCCTGCTGCCTCTGTTGCTCCAGCCGTGGCCACTACCTCTGCTGCCCCTGCAGTACCACCAGCACCAGTTCCTTCACTAGAACCCATTCCTGTGCCTGTGTGTGTAGCTGCAGCTGCATCTACTGTGTCTACGGCTGTAGCAGCAGTGCCTGCAGGTACACCCGCGCCTATTGCATTTACGGCTGTAGTTGTGTCTGTGTCCATAGCAGAAGCAGAGTTGATAGCGCCTCCGGCTGTAGCAGTGCCTGTAGCAGTGCCTATAGTGCTGTCATGCGCCATGGGAGCGTGCAGCCAAAGGCTCAACCCCGTTCCCTCACTCGAAACCCCGCACATAGCAGGGTTACTATAAATAGCAGGGTTGCCCGTTTGGCCTGGGTTCCCTGTGGGGGCAACGTCTGGGGCAGAAGTTGCAATGGAAGCCAGGCCAGAGATAGCGACGGGAGGAGCAGAGGCAGATGTAGGAGGGACTACAGAAGCAGTGGCGGAAGGGGCGGGGGCGGCGGCGGCAGGGGCGGGGGCGGCGGCCGGGGCAGCTGGGGCAGGGGGTCTAGCAGGGGCGGCAGGGACAACAGCAGCAGGGGCGGCAGGGGCAGGAGGGGTAGCAGCGGCAGGTGCGGCGGGGGTTGCGGGCGGAAGGGAAGAGAGGGCAGCGAGGTCACCAAAGAGCTCTGCAGAGTCCATCCTAGAAAACTCCAGAAACACGTCCCCAGACACACGCACCCCGCCCGGCAGAATCTGAATCACTGGCGCCTTCTTCCCTCCCTCCCCACCGCCTCCGCCACCCTTGCCGCCACCACTCCCTCCTCCTCTCCCTCCCTCCCCTCCCTCCCCTCCCTCCCCTCCCTCTCCTCCCACTCCCTCCACTCCCTTGCCTCCTCCATACCCTCCTTCCGCATCCCCAACTCCCGCCTTATCCGCCTCTCCTGCAGTTGTCCCCTTGGCCTGCCCACCAGTCAGCCCATGGATGGTCACAGAGCCGCCTGCACCAGATCCGCCCTCCCCCAGCTTCACCTGCACCTCCCCGTTGACGCCGTACTGCTTGCCCCACGCGGCAATGGCGGCTGCAAGGGCGCGGATGGAGATGGAGTGATGGGCGACACTGTCGTTGCTGTCGCTCGCATGCGTGTTGGTGTTGGTGTTGGTGTTGGTGTTGGTGTTGGTGTTGGTGTTGGTGTTGGCGGTGCTCGTGTTTCTTGTGTGCGTGTGCGCATCGGTGTTTGCGTTGGTGGTGTTTGTGTGAGTCTGCGTGTGAGTCTGCGTGTGAGTCTGCGTGTGCGTGAGCGAGTGCGTGTGCATGTGGGTGTTTCCCGTGTTGCTGGTGTGGTTCTGTGCGCTGCTGGTGACGTTGCCGTTGATGTTGGTATGGGTGTTGGAGAGGGTGTGGGTGAGGGTGTGCGTGTGAGGGTTGCTCACTCTCCGGGTGCTGGTGGTATCAACGGTGCTGCCCGGGTTGATAGAAGATGCGCCTGCACCAGTCCCGCCTCCCCCTGTCAGCCTGTCCGCTTGCCCTGACTGCTGCAGCAGCACCTGTGCTTGACGCTGCTGCTGTTGCTGTTGTTGTTGCTGCTGCTGCTGCTGCTGCTGCTGCTGCTGTTGACCCTGTGGAGGTGGCGGCGGCGGCAGCGGCAGGGGCTGTTGCTGTTGCTGTTGCTGCTGCTGACCCTGTGGTATCTGGGCAGCAGAAAACAGTGCTCGCAGCAGCAAAAGCTCAACATCATTCAGCGTCTTCTTATTTCCAGCACCTGACGCTGCCAGCCCACCACCTGAAGCAGCCATCCCACCACCCGTACCAGCTCCACCATTTGAACCGCCAGCCGCACCACTCGAACCAGCAGGAGCCCCACCAAAAGCAATCCCTGTCCCAATAGTTGGAACACTTGGGGCGACACTAGCAGGAGCACCAACAGCACCCGCAGCACCAGCACCGTTCAGAACCGCACTGGACGGACCAGGACCGGCAGCGACACCTGCATCGGATACACCTGGACCGGTTGCACCCCCCCTGTGGCCTACTTCCAGTCGCTGCATCTCCTGCTGCACCTGCGCCTGCTGCTGCGCCGTCAGCCCCCCCGAGAGCACCCCTTGCGCCCATTGCGGGGGCGGGGGGGAGGAAATAGACCCGGAAGAGGGGAACACGGGGAAGAGGGGGTTGGTCGCTACCTGTTGCTGCTGCTGTTGCTGCTGCTGCTGCGGCGTTTGCTGCTGCTGTTGCTGCTGCTGCTGCCCTAGATACTGCCCAAGCACACCGCCTGCCCCACCAGCAGCTGCACCAGCTGAACCTACCCCGGCTGGCCCTACCCCAGTTGAGCCTGCACCACCTGCACCACCCGCACTCCCTGCGGCAGCTGCAGCCGCTGCAACAGCAAATTCAACAGCCTGGGCAGACACTCCACTGGATTGCTGAGTCAGGAGGTTCTGAGGAAGGTTGTTCTGGGGAAGGGCGGCCTGGGGAAGGGCGGCCTGGGAAAGGTTGCTCGGAGGAAGGGGGTTCTGGGGCGGGGGGGTTTTAATGGATGGGGAGCGCGGAAGGGGGATGGGGAAGCCGCTAGAGGCGGAGTCATGCACGCTGCTGCCAACAGACGAGGCGCGGGGGAAGAGCGGAAGCACGGAGGGGCGGCGGAAATTGCTGGACGAGGGAAGGGTGATGTTGGGGAAAGGTAGCGCATTGCTGGCGGGAGCTGCTGCTGCTGGTGGTGCTGGTGCTGGTGCTGGGGAAAGGGAGCGCATTGCTTGTGCGACGCTTGGGTTGAGGATGGAAGGAGGAGGTGAGGGTGTCAAGGCGTTTACGAACGGTTTGCTTTGACCTATAGCCGCAGCAATGGGGCTTCTAATGGGAGCGGTGCCACCTGCTGCGTTAGAAGCAGCTGCGATAGAAGCAGTTGTGTTTGCAAGAGCAGCGTTGGGAGCAGCGGCGGCGGCAAGGGCGAGAGAGAGGGCAACAGCAGTTTCCGCGTCAGGAGGGGGTGTGGATGCTCGGGCCGCGGAGGCCGCGGAGAGAAACCGAGCTGCCGCTGATACGAGGGCATCACCAGGGCTCAACGCAGTAGTCAACGATCCCTGCTGCTGCGACTGCCCCTGCGACTGCGCCTGCGACTGCGCCTGCAGCTGCCCCTGCGACTGCCCCTGCAGCTGCCCCTGCGAGTGCTGCTGCATCAGCTGCTGCAGCTGCCCTTTCCGCACCTGCAGCTGCTCCTGCTCGTGTTGAAGCGCCTCGTACTGCTGCTGCAGCTGCTGCTGCTGCTGTTGCGACTCGAAACTCGACAGCAGCGCCGCAACAGGGCCGTTAAGAATAACCGACGCCACGTTACCCACGGAACTCGAAGACGGGAACGGGCTAGGGCAGGAGATAATACTAGCGGAGCCCTGGCGCGTAGGCGGCTGTATCAGGGGCAAGGCTAGCGCCGACCCCGCGGATCCGGACACGGAAATAGCGGCGGCAACGGCGGAGGGAGGAAGGGGAGGCGCAGGGGGGAATTTTTGCAGCGAGCCTGCTTTGCGCGGGGGAGGTAGCGATCGAAGGACATCGTCTAGGGTTTTCCTCGAGGTTGCCGGGTCCGTAACTACGGAGCACGGAATGGGCGGCAGACTGCTGCTTCCCGACGCATGCGAGCCCTTAAGCGCGCCGCCGCCTTTTCCCCCTGTGGGTGAGTCCGGCGCGGTGAAATTGGTTCGGGTGGTGGCTCCCCGTATCTGCCGCGCAGCCTCGTCGTAGGCTCGGGCGGCTTCCTCCGCCGTGTCGAACGTTCCGAGCCACTTGCGGATCTTGTGGTTCGTGTCTTTAATCTCCGCGATCCAACGGCCAGAAGCTCTCTGCCTGACTCCCAGGTACCCTCTGTTCTTCCCCTTACTATCCTTGGGTTGCGGCGCCGAGGCGTTTTTCTCAGGCGTCTTTCCACGTGCCTTTCCAGGTGCTTTTTCAGTCGCGCTGTCTGCTTGATTTCCTCCCTTCTGCGTTTTTGACACGTCATTTCCAGGTGCGTCGTCAGGTGCTTCGTCAGGTTCGTCATCGGAGGAACCATCTGAGTACTCCTCTTCCGTTTGCGGGGTCTTCGCACGCCGCTTATCCTGCGAAGTTGTAGGCGTGTTGTTCGCCGATGCCGTGTTACCCGACGTGGCTTGGGTCGCCGACGCTTTCGCATCGCACAGCGAAGCACCGGAAGCATCGGCGACGTCGCATTTCCTGCGCTTGGACGGGTTCATCCTCTCCCGTTCGCCGTCGTTATCTGCTGTGGCGTTCGCGCAGTCGCCATCGCGGGGCATTTCGCCCTGTACGCCGCCGTAAGCCGACGAAAACTTGAAAGTTCGCAAGCGTCTAACTTCGGAACCAGGTATGGGCTAAACCATTATTATCCTTTCAAACACCATAGCACTTAGTCCGAAGGCGCTGCAAGAACGGATAACTTGGCAAGCTGGCTGCATAGTCATCAGAACACCGGCCTGCTGCTTTACCTTGGGAAAAGGCAACCTTGACAAACAACCAATCACAAGGTGCTGAAGGTCACGTTCCAGCAGCCACAACCACAACCACAGCCACAGAATCGTGAAACGAAGCGGACAGCTGCAAAGCAACCCTAGAAAATGACGCAGACACGCAGCCCTCACAGAGCTTGTTTTAACGGCCCTCTTGAGGTTTGGTTCGGTCTGGTTCGGTTGGTTGGGTGTTCAGCTGGATGTGGGGTGCGGGCGAAGCGCGGGGAACCTCGTAAGATTACAGCTGGCGAAAAGGCGAAGGTCGGTGCGAATCTCCTGGCGACCAGTTCCACGAGGGGGAAGGCGTGGCGATGGCTTGCGAGGAACAGCTGGTCAAAAGGCCGCACAGCAACCAGATTCGGGAGGATGGCGGGCGAATCTAGAAGCACCTTTGAGCCTTACGATAGCAATAGCGAGTTCTTGTACGAGAGCCTGACTACAGTAGCAATTAACCTGATCTTATAATTTTCACAACGCTAGGTTTCAGCTATGATGGACAAACCACTCTCAATAACTGTGTTTCTTGCTGATCTTGAATAGAGCTCCCATATTCCAAGAGCAATTTACATTCTCCAAAAGCATACACCATCACCACATCTCCAAATGCACACCAGAGTATCAGCAGCATCACCAGAATCATCGGTGCTTGGTGATCTTCTCAACCAACAGGTCGTATTTTGCTCCTTGCACCTCATCAATCTGCGTCAGGTTGCGGAAGAGCTTGAACGTCGGCACCGACCGGACTCCAAGGCCCTTCGCCAGAGGCTGCTCACTCAAGACAAGCAGACACAAACATGGGACATGAGCAAAATAACACTTTAGGCCGTCAGAGCCACAATTGAAGAACCTTATCCATGAAAAGCCTCTGTAAGCAGGGTCCTGTGCTTTGGTGAAGTTAATTGCGCAAATTGATGTGCATCAGGTGGATGCAGGCACTTGTGCAGACAGCGGCGACTCTGGATTAACTTGGCACAATAGCCAGTAGTGTAACTGCGTTCCTTGCATACAAGGTCAGAATTATAACCTGCTAGAATCCCCCGCAAACTAACAAGCACCACTTCTTGCACCCTTCAGTACAGGGACGTCCACAATGCTCACCTTCTGGTTCTGGTTGCAAGCCAAGCTTCGTGAACTGCATCCCTCGTTACAGTCACAGTCCCAAGGCTCACCTTGTTTGTCTGGTTGCAGTCCAGCTTCAGGAACACCGCGTCCTGCACCCCCCGTTGCAGTCACAGTCACACGGCTCACCTTGTTATTCTGGTTGCAGTCCAGCTTCAGGAACACCACGTCCTGCATCTCCTCTGCCAACGCCTCCACCTTCGGCGCCAACAGCTTGCACGGGCCACACCTGCCGTGCAGCCATTGAAATGGGTAGAACATTGGGTTGCTGCGCTGTTACAAAAGCTACCGTTGTGCCGTGCTTAAACATTGTTCAGCTGACACCTATGGCGCGTTGTGGTGGAATGGCCTTGAGATCGCTCGTGAATTACCCTGAGTTCGCCGGTCGGGTAGATTGGAGGAAAAAACTAACGCTTTGTTGGGCTTTTGGAGATGGTAAATTGAGTGACACAAACGCACCACTGGGTGTACATATCGAGCACGACGAGCTTATCCGCGGCCGCCGCTTTCTCGAGCTCGGGGTAGAAGGTGTCTTTGTCCACCTCCATCATCCGCGACGTCGCCTGCGCTGATGCCTCCGCCGTCTGCGCCGCTGTTGCGTCCCCCGCATTCGCCCGCACTCTGCTAGTCCTGCTGACAGCCGCTGGAGCGTGATACGGGGAAGACGAGAGAGGCGACAGGGAGAGGTAATCATCAAGAGGTTACGTCGCCGATATTGCCGTGGATCGTGATGTACGTGCCAAGGTGAAGTCAAATTGGGAGTACATGCGACTTTCTCGTCCGTAGTTCAACTGACCATTTTGACGGTGCCGGAAAACAGCGGCGTTTGATTTCAAGCTTCTTGTGCTGCTTGGGAACAGGGACGACGCAACCGCGCTTGGATTTGACCCGCTCGTGGAGCGCTGCACCAATGCTCCAGCTGACGCGGTGACAGGAGACGCAGTCACAGCTACCAGTGCCATATCTGCTGGAACGACTAATTGACCTGGCGTGACGCGACGAGGTAGATGGTCGGATAGACGAGGCAATGAGTGGGATGAGAGCAGGGAGCAGATGCTCAGACGGTGAATTTCACCGATCAAGAAAACAGTGAAATTGATCAGTGGGGCAAGGAGAACGATGGAGGTTCTTCTGTTCAGGAAGAATACCAAACCAAGATGGTGTAGTTCTGTGTTCAGGCGTAACACGAATTCTGCCATTGCCAGACACATCAGCTGAAGTGGGGGCAGAACGGATCAGGCAAGGACCCGTAGAAAGCAGACAACTTGGTGGTCGTTGGGAGGAAGCCCTCTGCTGATTGGATGGAGGGAAATTGTCTGGCAGCCATATTGTGCCAGCGGGGCCACCACTCTGGCCCAGCCTCGAGATGTTGACGTGGAGTGTCGTCAGAATGTTCGTGTCGTAACTTGCCAGCCACAAGACAGGCCGAAGGATATCGAATCGCAGTCGACGTGTACACATCGACGAAGGCAGACAGTTTCGAATCTCCAAGGCCAGTGGATCCGTGGATGCGTTGGACTTTCAGGACTTCCGGACTGTAGTTGGCTGTTCACGGCTCGTTATGAGATATCGTTCAACACTGCTCCAACAGCTTCGAAATAAAGCAGACCACAACAAAAAATGCTAGGTAACTCAACAGAAGTTCGCATACCCTCGCAATTTGCTCGTAAGCGTTGAAATCTTCGTGCTATATCGAAGTGTTTGTTACACGCCACAACGCTATTTGTTAAGGGGGGATTTACTGTTCACTTTGAACAGTACTTTCCAACTCACCCTTATCCTTATCTTCCTAGATTTCCTAGTGCCACGTGGCACTCCAACTTTCTTGCACTACAATTCCTAGTCCCACAAACCACTTTCCCACAATTGCTCTTGCATGCTATATCAACCTTGCTTGTATCCACCAATATCAACCAATTCTCATTCAACTCTTCAATTACTTAGTAACTTCTTCGCCTATTTCGCCAATAGTTCTTTCGCCAAAGTCTTCCGCCGCGTTTTCATCCTCGACTTAGTCGACCCCGCTATTCTTTAGCGGACTTAGGCCGTCGGGCCTAACACTTGGTATCAAGAGCCTTCGCGGGGAGCGACTTCCAACGAGCGGCCGTCGACGACGAGACTACGACGTCATCGTCCCGCGGTGCCGACTTGCAGACTTGGAGTCGTCGAGCGAACATGGACGAAACCATGCACGCTCTCCCCCACGACATGGGCAACACGCTTGCCGAACTCATGCGCCAACTTCAAGAGTTGACGTTGGAAAATCGTCAGGTACGAGCTGAAATGCAACAGCTTCGTGAATTGGCTTCTAACCCCCATGGTCATGCCGCACCAACTCCTGCACCCACCACGTCGACTGGCGCGGAAGCGCTGCCGGAACGTCGAAGCGCGCTCAAGCCGCAGAAACCGGAGTCGTTCGACCCAAGTCAACGCGACGCGAACGTGCGGACGTGGCTCTTCATGCTCAACAACTACTTCGCCGCGAGCGGGGTGCAAGAGGCGGACGCGCAGCAGCGGATCGAGTACGCGGTGACGCTGCTGAGGGGCCCGGCCTTGGAGTGGTGGCGCCAACTTACGCAGACTGCTGTTAGAAGGGCTCAGACGGACGGGCATCAACAGGGCGTGGGGCATGCAGCTGCAACTTCGAGCTTAGGGAGTTTAGCTTTGGGTGTTACCACGGTTCCGACCACATGGGAAGGATTTGAAGCGGCGCTGAAAAGTAGGTTCGACTTGGTGAACGCCTCCGAAGCTGCTAGGAAGCGTCTGCGTCATTTCCGCCAGATAGGAAACGTCCAGGAGTACACACGACGGTTCTTGAGCATCTGCAACGAGATAGACGACATCACGGAAGCAGAGATGCGCGATCGCTACCTCGAAGGGTTGAAGCCGGACATAGCGGAGGTTATAGCGATTCACGGGTTGTCCACCTTCGAGTCAGTAGTCGCAGCAGCAGAACGCGTCGACGCAGTACGAAGCCGACGGGGTCGTGACGATCGCGATAGGGGGTACAATAGACCGATCAACGACGCTCGATCGAGGGACGGACCATCGCCCATGGAGATTGGTGCAGTTAACAGTGACGGCTCACAGCGCAACGGATTTAGGGGGAACTGTTACTACTGCAAAAAGCCGGGTCACATGAAGCGGGACTGCCCACAGTTCAAGGAGCAGCAGCAGGGAAACGGAAACCGCCAGTAGATAGCGGGTCGCTAGCTGGTGTGGAGGTTCCCGTACCCGCCACGTCTACCAACGTAGAGGAGACGGCCTTGCAGCAATTATCTACGGAGAACTCGGTAGACACTGTTGACCGACCAGTCGTGCTTCTAGGGAAGCTTCGCGGAGTTCCTGTCAAGATTCTCGTAGATAGCGGAGCTAGCCACTCGTTCGTGTCTTCATCGCTAGTCAGTCGTCTCCATCTCGAAGCGGATTCCGCAGTCAACTTCAAGGACGCGCGCATGGTAGATGGGACGCCACTCAACATAGGGCCAATCATTCGCAAGTTGCGCGTAGTGCTAGGACCGATCACAGTTAGGCGTGATTTCGACTCTGCAACGTTGGACGGATACGATTTTATCTTCGGGAGGGATTGGCTACGGACGGTTAGCACTCAGTTCGATTGGGCTCAGGGACGCTGCAGTGTCAAGGTAGACGGGGAGTTCCGGGAGCTGCCACAGTGGAGCGATGGGGCCACATCATCCACAGCTATCATTAATGCTGTTCGTGTGCGACAGTTAGTGAAGCGTGCGGCACGGATCTTCGCGGTTTTCCTTGAGGAGGTGGAAGCTGAGGAGGGGAAAGGAGGGAGTGCAGCAGTTAGTGAGAAGGCGACTCTTCCTGCTGAAGTGAGTGCACTGTTAGCAGAGTTCGCAGACGTCTTCCCTGACGAGTTGCCCCCAGGGTTACCTCCCAGCCGAGCAGTAGACCATCGAATAGAGTTGGAGCCGGGGAGCAGGCCAGTAGCGAAGCCGCAGTGGAGGTTGAGTCCAGCAGAGACAGAGGAGATGACGCAGCAGGTTAGGCACTTTCTCGCGCAGGGGTTCATACAGCCATCTAGATCGCCTTGGGCCGCACCGATCCTTTTCGCGCCTAAGAAAGACGGAGGGTTACGGATGTGCATAGATTACCGCGCACTGAACGCCGCCACCGTCAAGAACAGATTCCCGGTGCCGAGAGTAGAGGATCTTCTCGATGCAGTGCAGGGCGCTAGAGTCTTCTCCAAGATCGACCTTCATTCGGGCTACCATCAGATTCGCGTAGTTCCAGAGGACCAGCACAAGACGGCGTTTCGTACGAAGTAGGGGTTGTACGAGTTTAGGGTTTTACCGTTCGGATTGACCAATGCCCCAGCGACGTTTGAGACGCTTATGAACACCGTCCTCTCCGAGTTCCTAGGTTCGTTCGTCGTAGTTTACCTAGACGACATCTTGATCTTCTCCAAGTCGAAAGAGGAGCACGTGCAGCACTTGCAGAAGGTCTTTGAGGTCTTGCGGAGGGAGAAGCTGTACGCGAAGCAGTCTAAGTGCGAGTTCTTCCTCCCCGAGGTCGAGTTCCTAGGACACGTCGTATCCGCTAGTGGCGTTAGGACCGACCCGAAGAAGATCGCAGCCGTACAGGATTGGGTGGCACCGACCTCAGTCAAGGAGTTGCAGAGCTTCCTCGGTTTCGCGAATTACTACCGTCGTTTCGTTCAGGGTTACGCTTCCATTGCTAGTCCACTCACCGACCTACTTCGGAAAGGCGTAGAGTACGTTTGGGGTCCAGCGCAGCAGCAGGCGTTCGAGCAGATGAAGCAGTCGCTCACGTCTTCACCGACACTGTCGTACCCCGATCCCACTCGCCCGTACGTTGTAGTGACCGACGCTTCCGATCAGGCCATAGGAGCAGTGCTTCTTCAGGACCAGGGACGCGGGTTGCAGCCGATCGCGTACGAGTCGCGTAAGCTTAGAGGAGCGGAACTGAACTATCCGATACACGACAAGGAGGCGCTAGCGATCATCCATGCGTATAAGGTGTGGAGGTGCTACCTAGAGGGGGCAGATAGTGTTATACGCACGGACCATTGCTCGCTTCGTTTTCTTAAGTCGCAGCCGCAGCTGAGTCGACGTCAGGCTAGATGGATGGAGTTCATGGAGGGGAGCTTTCATTACAGGATAGAGTACAAGCCAGGCGTTCGCAACCCAGCAGATCCGCTCACTCGCCCTAGTTGCCAGCTCGCTAGTCTCACAGTCACTGCAGGCCATCCACTTCTCACAGCACTCTTCGAGCACGGTTACACAGTAGATCCCGACTTCACACCGCAGCCGCCCGCAGGAGCAGAGGTGCAGGGTAGTGTTTACATACGGAAGGGTACAGCACGGATTTGGGTTCCAGCCTACCGCCCTCTTCGACAGCTCCTTCTCTCAGAGGCGCACGATGTAGTTAGTGCAGGTCACTTCGGAGCAGACAAGACGGCTAAGACGCTTAGTCGCACGTACTACTGGCCAGGGCTTGCAGCAGACGTAGAGGATTACATTCGCTCGTGCGACACGTGTCAGCGTACGAAGTCCTCTCGCCAGCGCAAGGCAGGACTTTTGCAGCCGATTCCACCGCCCGACCGCCCTTGGCAGGTAGTTACCATGGATTTCATCATGGCTTTACCGCGCACAGTTAGGGGTCACGACGCCATCTTCGTGGTAGTGGATAAGTTTTCTCGAGCAGCGCACTTCATCCCCACGCACGGCCAGGTCACAGCAGAGGAAGCCGCGACGCTGTTCGTAGATAACGTAGTCCGACTGCACGGGGTTCCAGATTCGATCATTTCCGACCGCGACCCTAGATTCACCTCGAAGTTCTGGAAGCAGCTTTTCGCACTGTTTGGGACTCGCTTAGCCATGTCGTCTGCGTACCATCCAGAGACAGACGGACAGACTGAGCGTGTGAACCAGACTTTGGAGCAGATTCTTCGCAGCATCACGATGCACGACGCAGCAGCATGGGACAAGAAGCTGAGCATGGCAGAGTTCGCATACAACAACACGCACCACTCCGCCACAGGCATGTCACCGTTCTTCGCACTGTACGGTCAGCACCCCAATGTCCCCACTCGTGTCGATCTCACACCCACTGTCCCTCGTGCGGACAACTTTCACCAGCATCTCACCTTCATTCATGATCACGTGAGGAAGCACCTTGAGCTTGCAAATGCACGCATGGCACGCACCACCAACCGCAGTCGTCGTGAGGTGTCGTTCGCAGTCGGTGACCGTGTCCTTCTCGACAGCCGCAACCTCCGACTGCCACAGGACAGCAAGCTTCGCCCACGCTTCATTGGTCCATTCGTCATTGAGCGCGCACTTGGTCCAGTCGCATACCGCCTTCGCCTTCCCGCTCATTTCCGCATGCACCCATCATTCCACGTGTCTCTCCTTCGGCCTTACACCGATCCCAACGCCACCTTCTCGGGCCGTGATCGCACTCCACTGCCGGTAGCTGTTGACACCGACGAGCCCGACTACCAGATCCAGCGCATCCTCAGGCACCGTCGCCGTCTCCAGGGGGGTGTCTCTTTCATCGACTTCTTGGTTCGTTGGCGTGGTTACGATGCAGCCGACGACAGCTGGGTTCCTTCGTCCTCGCTGTCTCCCGACAACGCTTGCCTCCGAGCGTACCTTCAGTCTGCAGGCGCCGCGGACGTCGCCTCCTTGGGAGGGGGTAGTGTTAAGGGAGGATTTACTGTTCACTTTGAACAGTACTTTCCAACTCACCCTTATCCTTATCTTCCTAGATTTCCTAGTGCCACGTGGCACTCCAACTTTCTTGCACTACAATTCCTAGTCCCACAAACCACTTTCCCACAATTGCTCTTGCATGCTATATCAACCTTGCTTGTATCCACCAATATCAACCAATTCTCATTCAACTCTTCAATTACTTAGTAACTTCTTCGCCTATTTCGCCAATAGTTCTTTCGCCAAAGTCTTCCGCCGCGTTTTCATCCTCGACTTAGTCGACCCCGCTATTCTTTAGCACGCAACATGGAACACTATTCCTGTTGGCACTCAGGAACATACTCAACCACGCAAAAGGCTACTCAACCGCATTTATCGCGCGAAAAGCACTCTGATAGCCCTCCCACGCACCAAGGCAATGTTGGTGCAATTCGCCCCCCTATGATTCAAGGGGCTTCGCTCGATATCATGATTGCGCTCCTGCTGACACCACGACAATAACGGACAGTCGCGACGCGAGTAGTTTATGCTCAGCTGCGATCCCGTACTTATCGCCACAACCCACACTGCCCTCTCCCTGCATGCATGCTCATGGCAGCTGCAGAAGCCGCATCGTATCTCGTTAGTCTCACCCTCTCCCCCGATCAAGCCAACCATTGCCTAGCCCGTTGCCCGCGCCTCGCGGAGCCGAGTTCCCTCCCCAACCAGCGAAAAGTCGTCGCATTTCTCTTAGACGAGCTACATTTCTCCACCAAGGCCCTTACGCCGCTCATCCGCCGCTGCCCGCAGCTCCTCGCGTACAGCGTCCCCGAGAAGCTCCGCCCAGCCGCGGAGTGCCTCCGCGGAGTGGGGTTCTCCGCGCGGGACCTCCGCCGCGCAATCGCGCATTTCCCCGGGATCCTCGCGCGCAGCATCGAGGAGAAGCTCTGCCCGCTGCTCGCGCTCCTGCAGCACCTCGATATTGCCGAGGAGAAATGCCAACGCGTGATTCTCGCCTGCCCGCGACTCGTCAGCTACAGTATCGACCTCAAAATGCGCCCGCTCGTTCTCTTATTCCAAACCAACCTGCCCTTTTCGCCGTCGCAAGTCGGGCGAATGGTTACCCGATGCCCTCAAATCCTGGGATGCAATCTCGACAAGCAAGTCATTCCCGCGATTCGGCATTTGAGTGGTATAGGTCTCGTAGAAGATAAGCTTTTAAATCTCCTACTACACCACCCGTACATCCTTTGCCGAAGCGTCGGGAAAACCCTCGAGCCGCGGACCGAGTTCCTCCTGTCCCTAGGATTTGCACGAGCTGAGGTGGCAAGGATGGTCGCGGAGTTTCCTCCAATCCTGACGAAACACGTGGACAACGATCTGCGCCCAAAAGTGGCGTACCTGGAAGGGCCTATGGGGAGAAGCGTGAGAGAGGTTCTGGGGTTTCCGCGGTTTTTCTCGTACAGCTTGGTGCGGAGAATTATCCCCAACCACAGGAAACTGCAGAGCAGAGGGCGTGAGGATTGGACACTCGGAGGGTTGTGCAAGAAGAACGTGGTGTGATCAGGGTTCTGGGTCTTAGGATGTTATCTTAGTTTCCACCAGCAGTTTCTCTGGCATTTTGTAAATGGCAAGATGGAAAAGGTTGCTGGTTGAATAGCAGTAGCAGAAGCAGAGAACCCGGTACTACCGGTATCTAAACCAGATTTGAGTGAACTGACCGCTGTGACACTACCTAAACCAGATTTCCAGTATCAGATTTTGGATGATACCCTACAACTGTATCTAGTGTTGCACTTATTTGTGTTTATTCCGTGCCATTATTACCCCTCCCCTAGAAGACCTCTCTGAATCACTACCCCTAGCTCATAGCGCACAAAGCGTTGACAATAAAAGAAAACCACAGCCACAGCTGCAGTGCCTGCTCACACACAGGAATCACTGCTTGCTTCGGTGCATATACACAGCCACACCCACACTCACAGCTGCCACCGCTGTCACCGCCAGCATTGAAACTGTGTAAGCCCACATTGCATTGTCCCAATTCGATGCCGCCGCACCTTCTTCCGAACCTGCACCGTAGGCTCGGGACCGAGGTGGAGAGGCAGGCCCGGTGGATTTCCGCGGCGTGGGAGGGCGAGGTGGGGCGGAAAGGTTGGTGCGACGAGAGCCGTTGGTTTGCGATGGTGTGCGCTGGTGATGTGACGTGCGGAGCGATCCGCGTTGCGACCCATGTTGCGATCCGTGTTGCGAACCATGTTGCGATCCGTGCATGGAATGGGCGTCTGGATCCTCGTCATCGTGAAATTCAAGATGGAGCTTCAAACCCTGGGGGTACGCAAAGAAGGAAGAGGGGGGTAGTGTGGGGGCGAAGGAGGGCGGGGAAGTGGTGAGCAGAGCAGTAGTCTGGGCTGCATGGAATGGGAGTCTGGAACCTCGTCATCGCGAAATTCAAGATGGAGCTTCAAACCCTGGGAACGAGGGGAGGTGCAGGGGTGGGGAAGAAGGAAGGGGGAGAAGTGGTGAGCAGCAGTTGGAATTCAATTTGCAGCAGCAACGAGAGAGCGAGGGAAAGGGCACCCACAGAAAGCAGGAGCAGGAGCAGGAGCAGGAGCAGGAGCAGGAGCAGGAGCAGGAGCAGGAGCAGGAGCAGGAGCAGGAGCAGGAGCAGGAGCAGGAGCAGGAGCAGGAGCAGGAGCAGGAGCAGCAGGAGCAGGAGCAGGAGCAGGAGCAGGAGCAGGAGCAGGAGCAGGAGCAGGAGCAGGAGCAGGAGCAGGAGCAGGAGCAGGAGCAGGAGCAGGAGCAGGAGCAGGAGCAGGAGCAGGAGCAGGAGCAGGAGCAGGAGCAGGAGCAGGAGCAGGAGCAGGAGCAGCAGGAGCAGGAGCAGGAGCAGGAGCAGGAGCAGGAGCAGGAGCAGGAGCAGGAGCAGGAGCAGGAGCAGGAGCAGGAGCAGGAGCAGGAGCAGGAGCAGGGGCAGGGGCAGGGGCAGGGGCAGGGGCAGGGGCAGGGGCAGGGGCAGGGGCAGGGGCAGGAGCAGGAGCAGGAGCAGGAGCAGGAGCAGGAGCAGGAGCAGGAGCAGGAGCAGGAGCAGGAGCAGGAGCAGGAGCAGGAGCAGGAGCAGGAGCAGGAGCAGGAGCAGGAGCAGGAGCAGGAGCAGGAGCAGGAGCAGGAGCAGGAGCAGGAGCAGGAGCAGGAGCAGGAGCAGGAGCAGGAGCAGGAGCAGGAGCAGGAGCAGGAGCAGGAGCAGGAGCAGGAGCAGGAGCAGGAGCAGGAGCAGGAGCAGGAGCAGGAGCAAGAGCAGAGTCCAGTGGGCAAGGCAAGGGGTCACACGGTACCTTGATGCCGGTGGCCTTGGCAAACTTGACAGCCGCATGCAGATCCTCATCCGTGGATATGACCACCATGTCGTTGTCCTCGTCTGCGTACTGGGGCACGGGGGATTGGGGAGGAATGCATGCGGTGAGGTGAGTATATGGGAGACTGATGCATATAGGACGGAGGATCCTCATCCGTGCATATGACCACCATGTCATTGTCCTCGTCCGCGTACTGGCGCATGGGAAAGGGGGAGAGGGGATGCATGCGGGTGAGGGGATGAGTTAAATCTGTAAGTTGCTGGGGTGACTAGGGGTGACCAGGCGTGACCAGGGATGACCAGGCGTGACCAGGGGTGACCAGGGGTGACCAGGCGTGACCAGGCGTGACCAGGGGTGACCAGGCGTGGCCAGGCGTGGTGACCAGGCGTGACCAGGCGTGACCAGGTGTGACCAGGGGTGACCAGGCGTGACCAGGGGTGACCATGCGTGACCAGGCGTGACCAGGCGTGACCATGCGTGACCAGGCATGACCAGGGCTGGCCAGGGGTGACCAGGCGTGACCAGGTGTGACCAGGCGTGACCAGGGGTGACCAGGCGTGACCAGGCGTGACCAGGCGTGACCAGGGGTGACCAGGCGTGACCAGGGGTGACCAGCTGAGACCAGGGGTGACCAGGCGTGACCAGGGGTGACCATTGGTGACCAGGGGTGACCAGGGGTGACCAGCCGAGACCAGGGGTGACCAGGCGTGACCAGGGGTGACCAGGGGTGACCATTGGTGACCAGGGGTGACCAGGGGTGACCAGGGGTGACCAGGCGTGACCAGGCGTGACCAGGGGTGACCAGGGGTGACCAGGGGTGACCAGGGGTGACCAGGGGTGACCAGGGGCGGGTAACCAGGGGGTGGGTGACCAGAAGTGACCAGAGAGATAGATGATCGACTTACCAGAATGGAGGGCGGGTTGTCAGGGTCGTAGTCCCCTCCCAGTCGAGACGCCACGGCACACACCAGCTCCGTCATGCTCTCACTGCCCGCTGTGAACCGGTGCACGCGCCCCCTCCTGTCCTCCAGCTTGAACGAAAACAGATCCTCGCCCAACCCCCCCACCATCGCTCCGCCCATCGCTCCTCCGGCTCCTATTCCCGCCCCTGCGCCAGCTGCACCACCAGAGGGGACGCCTGCTCCCCCTGCTCCGCCTGCTGCTGTGCCGCCTCTCCTCCTGCTCCCTGATGGGCGCACCTGGTCTGACATATCACTGCTGCGCACACTGGGAGGACGGGGCGAGATTGAGAGGGAGAACGGTTTAATGTTTGATGTTTTATGCTTGCCATTTATCTACCTGCATTGCTGTAATATTCGGATATAATACAACGAGAGGGAGAAGGGGGGGGAGGAGAGGGGGAGGGGAGAGGACGAACTTAAAAAGGAGCACTTATAAAAAGCAAGCCTCACCTCTCCCAAGCCACCTCCCACCTGCCAGTGCCTTCCTCGGTATCAGCGGGGGCAGTTTGGTGGGGGCAGAGTCCTTCCTCGCTCACCCTAATCCCACCACCCCCAAGCCCCACCTGCCCCATCTCTCACCTGGCGGTGTCTTCCTCGGTGTCGGCAGGCGGCTGGGCGAGGGCCGAGTCCCACCTCGCCCTCCCACCTAACCTACCTCCCTCACCTCTTCACCTCTCCACCTTCCCCAAGCCCCACGTTTCCCAAGGCATACCTGGCAGTGTCTTCCTCGGTGTCAGCAGGTGGCAGGGCGAGGGCGGAGTCCCAGAAGCGCTGCATCAGCTGCCCCATAGCGTCCCCGCTCTCCGACCCCGATGCTGCCTGCGAGAGGGATGGGGCATGCTCAAGAGGATTGGCGCAACGGGTAGAGGGAGCAAAGGAAGGCATTAGGGCGAGGGCGGAGTCCCAGAAGCGCTGTATCAGCTGCCCCATGGCATCATTGCTCTCTGACCCCGATGCTGCCTGCGAGGCAAGGAGCATGGGGCATGGGGCATGGGGCATGGGGCATGGGGCAAGGGGCACAAAGCATGGGGCAAGGGGTAGGGTGGGCAAAGGACGTCAGTGCGAGGGCGGAGTCCCAAAAGCGCTGCATCAGCTGCCCCATGGCATCATTGCTCTTTGAACCTGATGCTGCCTGGGAAGATTGGGAAACAGGAACGGGAAACAGACATGGGAAGTGGAAGTGGTATGAAAGCGTGAAGCAGGGGGCGTGGGGCATGGGGCGGAGCATGGTGCATGGGGGAAAGAAAGCTGCTAGTGAAGGAAAGGTATGGGGCAGGGGAAGGCAAACGCAATGCGTATCGACAAAAGTGAGCAGTGTCTTCTTACGGCAGCAGAGGACATGGCGCCTTGTGTGAGCTGAAGCACGTCCACACATGCCACACAGTTGCCATCTGCTTTTGAGTCGACCAAAAGAAAGCAATTGCCATCTGTTCCCGTGCCACCGTGCAAGCCAAGAAGCGCCACGTGTTGCCATGCAAGGTATCAAGGAAGGACCAAAGTGAAGGGGTCTTACGGCAGCAGAGGACATGGCGCCCTGAGTGAGCTGAAGCACGTCCACACATGCCACACAGTTGCCGTCTGCTCCCATGCCATCCACGCCACCACACCGCATGTCGCCACACCGCATGCCACCACACCGCATACCACCACACCGCATGCCACCACACCACATGCATGCAAAGGGGGAAGAGGAGTGCACGGATGAAGGAGCAAAAATGAGTTGAGAAAGAGAGAATGGGGTGCAGGAGTGACAAGGATGGGAAAGGATGGGGGGAGGGGCAAACGTGAAGAGAGACAAAGAACAGGGTTGCCCTTCACGCTGTTGACGCAACTAACCTGCGTCAACAGGGTGACTTTTGAGTCGACTCAAAAGTCACCAGGGTCGACACGACACTGACCTGAGTCAACAACGGGGAGGTGCGGGAAGCGGCTGTCATGCATGGTGTGAAGGGCGTCCACCACTCACGCACTGGCGTGCTCAGCTTGTGCCCCTCGGAGACGGCTAGAGGTGCTCTCACACTCTCGCCCTGACCAGGCAGACTGGGTCACGACAGACTCGCCTGGATCAACAACGGGGAGGTGCGGGAAGCGGCTGTCATGCATGGTGTGAAGGGCGTCCACCACAGGCGTGCTCATCTTGTGTTGAGTCACTCAAAGAGGGCCCATCAGGTGCCTGAACGAGTGACCCGTGAGACGAGAAAACATCTCACCTGGGTCAACAGGAAGGAGGTGCAGGAACTGCCATCGTGCATGGTGTGTAGGGAGTCAACCACAGGCGTGCCCACATCGTGCCCCTCAGAGATAGCTAGTGGTGGTGCTCTCTCAGTCTTGCACTGCCCAGGCAGGTACAAAAACGGGACTACGTCTCACCTTGGACAACGACCGGGAGGTGCAGAAACCTGCCGTCGTGCATGGTGTGAAGGGCGTCCACCACTGGCGTGCTCACCTTGTGTTGTGTCCCTTCAGGAGGCCCCATCAGGTGCCTGGACGTGTGACTCGAGAGACGAGAAAGCAGCTCACCTGAGTCAACGACGGGGAGGTGCAGGAAGTGGCCGTCGTGCATGGTGTGAAGGGCGTCCACCACAGGCGTGCTCACCTTGTGTCTGACCTGACCAGATGTCTGACCTCAGAAACGGGAAACCATCTCACCTTGGTCAACAACGGGGAGGTGCAGGAAGCGTCCGTCGTGCATGGTGTGAAGGGCGTCCACCACTGGCGTGCTCAGCAGCACACACTCTGGATTCGGCGTCATCACCTGCGGTGCAGTGCGGTGCAATGAGGTACAGAACCGTACAGTGCGCAGTCACAAGGATATGGGAAGGGAAGAGTCGCTACTGGGGATGGAGATGGATGATGTCATGATGAACACATGAACGGTGACATTACGTCCCACACCTTAGGGAATGCTTGAAAATGAAAAAACACATAAAACTGAATGTCGTCGTTGCTTTTAAGCCCCCATATCCCATAAGAATGGTGCAAGGTTTGCTTGCCTGGGGAGCGGACTGCTGGGAAAACCAAGAGTGCTTGCCTTGTCAACGAGTGTGGTGTCTGGGTGCAGGTTGAGTGCTAGCACCCGCGTGAGAATGTCCTTGGATCTGAGGGGCGTGGTGGAGGGCGTTGTGTGCATGGGACGTGTGAGAGGCGTGGAGGGAAGAAGGGGCATGGAGGGGAGGGGCATGGGGCAAGGGCAAGGGGGGAGAGGCGAAGGCAGCATTCACACGTGTTGTAAAAGGCACCGCCTGTTCAGACCACACGTGAGCGAGAAAATCTACGCATCGGAATGCAAAATACCGCAAATGTCCAGCTAGTCAAGGCAACAGTTTCCCACAATGATGATCAGCCACGCCCAGCCGCGCCCAGCAACACCCAGCAAAGCCCAGCCACGCACGAGAGGATGCCGCAGGGGCGGTTGGTGACGCTGTTGGTGACAATCACTGAGCTCACTCCTTTAGACTACTCAGCATTTAGCTAGTGAAGGCGAAAACTTCCCACAATGCCCAACAACGCCCCAAAACAACCCTCAGCGACGCACGTGAGGATGCCGCAGGGGCGGTTGGTGACGCTGTTTGTGACAATCACTGAGCTCACTCCTTTAGACTACTCAGCATTTGGCTAGTGAAGGCGAAAACTTCCCACAATGCCCAACAACGCCCCAAAACAACCCTCAGCGACGCACGTGAGGATGCCGCAGGGGCGGTTGGTGACGCTGTTTGTGACAATCACTGAGCTCACTCCTTTAGACTACTCAGCATTTGGCTAGTGAAGGCGAAAACTTCCCACAATGCCCAACAACGCCCCAAAACAACCCTCAGCGACGCACGTGAGGATGCCGCAGGGGCGGTTGGTGACGCCGTTGGTGACAATCACTGAGCTCACTCGACTCTCCCTCATCCTCCTCGCTGCCGTCCGTACTAGGTCCGTCTTGAGCACTGTGGCTAGCCTGGTAGGCATGCATGGGATAACACAGTGAGTGAGTGAGTGAGGGGCAAATGGGCTTTGCCAAGCACAAGCCACGCACCTGAGATCTTCGCCAAGCACACTCGCAAGGGTGGGTCGAAACACCTTGTAATTCAAGTTGACCCAAGAGTCACCTCGTGAGAGTGGCATCACAAAAAGGAGAGGTGGAGTGCGCACCTGGGGTCTTCCCCAAGCACACTCGCCAGTGTGGGTCGGAACACCTTGTCCCGAAACGTCTCCACAAAACCCATGGCTGCTCGCAGTTGGGAGGAGGAGGGAAGGGGGGAGGGAGCAGAGGAAGAGAGATGGAATGTGTGAGACAACAAGGAGCAGGAGGGGAATGTTGGCTTCTCAAAGTCTTCTGAAAGGAGTTGACAAGAGAAGAGTGTGGGGGAGGGGCGTGTGGCTTCCACCTGCCCTCCACTGCCTCTCCACCCACTCATCCCACTGCCTCGATCACCAAATACCCACCCGCGTTGCCCCCCACTGCCCCTTCACCCACCCCTTCACCCACCAGCGTTGCCTCCCCACTGTCGCTCCACGCCCTCCATGGCAGCAGCGAGCGCATCGCCCCTCTCTGCTGTGCTGGCAGTCCGCTCAAAACTCACAAACACATGCACACCTGCCCTCCACTGCCTCCTCAACCACCCTCCCACCCTCCTCATCCACCACCCACCCACGTTGTCCCCTCACTGCCGCTCCACGCCCTCCATGGCAGCAGCGAGCGCATCGCCCCTCTCTGCTGTGCTGGCAGTCCGCTCAAAACTCACAAACACATGCACACCTGCCCTCCACTGCCTCCTCAACCCACCCTCCCACCCTCCTCATCCACCACCCACCCACGTTGTCCCCTCACTGCCGCTCCACGCCCTCCATGGCAGCAGCGAGCGCATCGCCCCTCTCTGCTGTGCTGGCAGTCCGCTCAAAACTCACAAACACATGCACACCTGCCCTCCACTGCCTCCTCAACCCACCCTCCCACCCTCCTCATCCACCACCCACCCACGTTGTCCCCTCACTGCCGCTCCACGCCCTCCATGGCAGCAGCGAGCGCATCGCCCCTCTCTGCTGTGCTGGCAGTCCGCTCAAAACTCACAAACACATGCACACCTGCCCTCCACTGCCTCCTCAACCCACCCTCCCACCCTCCTCATCCACCACCCACCCACGTTGTCCCCTCACTGCCGCTCCACGCCCTCCATGGCAGCAGCGAGCGCATCGCCCCTCTCTGCTGTGCTGGCAGTCCGCTCAAAACTCACAAACACATGCACACCTGCCCTCCACTGCCTCCTCAACCCACCCTCCCACCCTCCTCATCCACCACCCACCCACGTTGTCCCCTCACTGCCGCTCCACGCCCTCCATGGCAGCAGCGAGTGCATCGCCCCTCTCTGCTGTGCTGGCAGTCCGCTCAAAACTCACAAACACATGCACACCTGCCCTCCACTGCCTCCTCAACCCACCCTCCCACCCTCCTCATCCACCACCCACCCACGTTGTCCCCTCACTGCCGCTCCACGCCCTCCATGGCAGCAGTGAGAGCATTGTCCCTCTCTGCAGCTCCACCCTCCCACCCACCTACCCGCTAGAATTGCCCCCAACATACCACCCTCCTCCGTTCATCACCCAACCTCTTCAGCACATGACCCACCCGCATTGCCCCCCCACTGCCGCTCCACGCCCTCCATGGCAGCAGCGAGTGCATCGCCCCTCTCAGCCGCTCGCTCCATCTTGGCGATGGCGTCGTACAGACACCGCGTGATGTCCAGTAGTGCCACCACTTCTCCCTCCTCTATCACCGGCAGATGCCGAAACCTCCCTGTGTGAGTGGCAATAGGACGGGTAAAGGCACGTGCGGGGAGGGGGAGCATGAGTACAGGGAGATTGAAGACGAATCCTCTCAGTCAGCCGCTCGCTCCATCTTGGCGATGGCGTCGTACAGACACTTGGTTATGTCCAGTAGTGCCACCACTTCGCCCTCCTCTATCACCGGCAGGCGCCGGAACCTCCCTGTGTGAGTGGCAATGAAACGGGTAAAGGCACGTGAGTGGAGCATGAATGCAGGGAGACTGAAGACGAAACCGCTCGGCCGCTCGTTCCATCTTGGCGATGGCGTCGTACAGACACTTGGTGATGTCCAGTAATGCCACCACCTCGCCCTCCTCTATCACCGGCAGGTGGCGAAACCTCCCTGGGAGGGGGGTGTGAGGGGGGGAGGGGAAGAGGGGGAGGGGAGGGGGGGGGGGGGTAATGGCAATGGCAGAGCAGTGAAGATTTATTTTTCTTTTTTCTTTCATAGCTCCTTGTCACGAGGGGATGCAACGCGATATTGGAACACTCAACGTAGATGCTGCGCGCGATATCTTTTGAAACGGGTGGCAAATCTTTTGCCCTCGTTAGATCTCCTGTGCGTGCACCATGCATTACATCTCACCCTGAGGCACCACGTGTTACATCTCGCCCTGAGGCACCACACGTTACATCTCACCCTGCACCATGCGTTACATCTCATCTCACCCTGCACCATGCGTTACATCTCATCTCACCTTGAACCATGCGTTGCAGAGCGTCCACAGCAGACGAATCAATGGTGACAAAGGTGGGGTTCTTGGTCATCACGGCTGACGCCAGCGTGCTGTTCACATCCAGGCCCTCACCCACGCATTTCAATGCTAGATCCTGCAACCAGAGTAGAGGGAGAAGGGGATGGGGTGGGGCAGCGAAGGTGGGGTTCTTGGTCATAACTGCCAACGCCAACGTGCTGTTCACATCCAAGCCCTCGCCCACACACTTCAATGCTGAATCCTGCAACCCAGCAAAAGCACCCACGCGCATGCACAAATCAGGTGGGGCGGGGGAGGGAAATGAAAGGGTTCTTGGCCATCACGGCTGACGGCAGCGTGTGTATACATCCAACCCCTCGTCCACACACTTCAACACTAGGTCCTGCAAACAGAGAAGAGCGAGGGAAGGAGAAGAGCGGGGGAAAGAGAGGGAAAGAAGGGGACAAGGAGAGAGAAGGGGAGAGGGGTACTAAATAGAAAAGACATGCAGCAAGACACCATGCGAGTGAAGCGATCCGGCATGACGCCACGAAGATTGCCTGTACTCGCTATAAGCCTGAGTGACCCACCCGATCTGTCATGATGCCACAGAGCAGCGCGCTGGAGTCGGTGAGAAGGCACGCGTCCACGCGACGGTTCGCCATTCGCCGACACGCGTCAGCCACTGTAGTGGTGTCCGGCAGCGTTAGAGCCTTGGAAAGCCTCAGGCGCCGCACTGCTCGCTCGCCCGCTGCTGTGCTGCTGAGCAGAGGGAGGTAGGAGAAAGGTATGGTACGCCGTCAAGGAAAGGAGCGAGAGAGTAGAGAGGTGACGTGGCGAACAAGAGGGGAGTGAGTGGAAGGATCGGATGCTGACAAAGAGGACAGAAAAGAAGCGAGGAAGTATAACGCGAGGATGAGATGATAAGTCAGAAGAGCTTCAGCCTTCAATCGACAGTAGGCATGGATCGAACTACGAGAGTTTTTTTTCACTTTGGGATCTACGGCGCGCGCATTGCCTGGATCGCCCGTGGGAATTGAAACGATCGCCTGTCCGTCGGGATCACCTCATTTTCTATCTAACCAATCACCAATCAGCAATCACCTCGATCCGCCCTTGCTCGCGCCACTCCGCCGGCTGCCCGTGGACCGCTTGCTCGACTTCTTCGACGCATCGCGCGACCCGTCCCCCGCTCCGCCTCCCCGCGCCGCGTTCATGGCTCACGATCCGCTACAAAACGACAAGACACCCTCGAGCGGTCCGAGTAAACGCCTTAAAGACGACCCCGAACAACCAAGGCTAAACCGAGAGATTCGTCACCGTCCGATCTGAATTAATGAACAATAAAGACGCAAGTCCGTCTGTTTTCTAAAGAGAGCCGAGATAAAGAATCAATACTCCTGAGCGTCTGAGTACGTGAGGCAACTTCAAGGTGCGCGCTTCCCACGCCAAAGGCTCGCTTTGCGTGAAAGTTTGAAAGTCTGTCTGGCCTTTGTCCCTCGGTGTTGGCGTACCAGCACTCGGTCATACTCGCCGTAAAGATTTTCGATAAAATTGCTATTAACCCAACTTGGGATGCGATTATTCTAATACACACCCAGCCATTTCGATGAATCGAGCCCAGCAGCCAGCTGACATTTCCTTCAACAGATGTGTCGGTCGCGGCTCGCTCATCGGGGATCGCTTGATTTCGGCGAAAGGTCCATCGGATTCGTCAACCGCGCAGACCGCTTCGCAACTTGCGTTCGCCGAGCCGCGACGAGGGACTACAAATTCGCCCGAATTCGCTGAGAACAATCACACTGCAAATCTCGCCCCATCCTCCTCTGGGTTGGATTCACCAGACCCATCATCCATCCGCAATTTCGTTTCCGCCGAGCTATTTCTCCCACCCATCGGCAGCGCGTGAGTCACATTCGTTTCCGAATCCACATATTTCCGATACCGTACCTCATTCCCATTGACATCAGGTTTCTCCCCTGCTCGTTAGTATTCGTCATGGCTCGCGCTGCCATCTTTTTCGCCGTCCTCTCGCTCCTCGCCGTCGCCGCCACGGCATGCAACGTCCCGCCTGGCGGGTGCCACGTCACCAAGGTCTGCAAGAAGCTCGTCAATCTCGAGAAATACAACATCACGGCGGAGAATTTCCGCAAGTACTCGCTGATTGGCTACTTCAAGGGCATGTTCAACAGCCAGGGCGGCAAGGTGAAACCCCAGAAGCCCGGCTCCGGCCCCCTGAACCTCGAGATCTTCCAGGAGGTCGGCAACTTCGTCGAGGTGGTAACCAGCACGAGGGGCAACACCCTCGCGAAGTGCTGCGCGGCGTGCGCGAAATCCCTGGACTGTTACGAGTACCACTTCTTCGCGAGCCCGCGCATGGAGGACAACAGCAACGTGAAGAACTTCCGCGACGGCGTGCAGTGCTACCTGCTGCAGAAAAACGCCGGCTCCGGCGTCTCAGGCGGCCTCTCGCACCCGTACGCGGGCGACAGGAAGGAGCAGGCAGCCATGGCGCCGTATTTCCCGCTGAGCTGGGTGGGCGGGCTGTGCAACGGCAAGGCGACTGTGGAGAATGATCCGCACCTCACGGGTGCGCACGGGACGCACTTTGACTTCACTGGGCGGTTGAACAAGGCCTTCTGCCTGCTGTCGGACGAGCGCGTGCACATCAACATGCTGCTGGATGGGTACCAGGGCACGCCTCCTGC